ACATTTGCTGCTTTGAATTAAATTTTGAAGAACTCTTTCTTGATGAACTTAGATTCTTGGAGAATAATCAACAATCAAATTTTCAGAACTCTACAGAAGAATTGGTTGTTAGAAAACAAAACTTCACAGTACAAGAGTCTAAGTTCATTAAGAAATACAAAATGCATGACACCAATAATACCTACCTTACTTTGTTGTAAGAATTATTAAACACCCCGAAATGCTTGGAATTTCACATTATTGATTATATCATTCTGAATTTATTTATAATCCAGAGAAGAATTTTTACCAATAAGGTAGGATTCAATGTAGAATACGAGCTCTTCGTGTTGAACACTTTATTCTGCATTATTTGATTTATTTATTTCAGAATAATAAAAAGAATTTATTCTTCTCTCATTTGAGAGTTTTTTGTTCAGTTATAAAAAAAACTTTTAAATTCAAGGTGATTCTATCTTATAAAGCCTAAGCTGACCGAGTAATTAAGTCTAATGAGTATTTTCATACTTAATGACCTAAGCCCAATTGGGTTGGGATCTATTGGCCCAAAACTCGTTAAATGATCGTTTAGAAAGCCCGTTAAAGTAGAAAAAAATCACCAAGGAAGAAAGAGTTAAAAATAAATAAATAAATAAATAAAATACTAATAAATGTTTTATATATAGTTATATTTGTATATATGGTCTTGGAAAATATTTTTGATCAAGTAACTTGAATATTATTTTAAACAAAGAGTTAGCATGTTCTTTTTAAAACTTTTAAATTAAATTTCTAAGTTTGTCTTGGTTTTGTATTGCTATAATGAGAAGATTTTCTAGGAAATTTACCTTAGAGTTATATATAAAAATATTTTCTTGAGTAATAACTAGCTTTAATTATCAAGTAAACATAGTTATTTACTAACTTCTTTAATTTGGCAAGATGACCGAATTTTATGGGTATATTCACTACAAACCATCACGAGACTACAACTTGTCCACTAGGGTAACCTAGGGGTTTAAAGGCTTGTTGTATGCGCTAAATACAACCGCGATTCCTGCAAAAGTGAGTTAGGTTTTCTTTCATTTTTCTTTCTTTGCTAGAGGACTAGCAAAAGTTTAGGTGTGGGGGTATTTGATAATCATATTTTATTATAATTTTATACTCTCGTTATCTAGTTTATATGAATAAATTTATTACTAATAATTATTTTTATCTTTAATTGCAGGTTAATCAAAAATAAAAGCACAATATCTCTTCTCTCAACAAAGCCCACTAATTAAATGAATAACTCAAGCATGAAAGCCCAAAAAAAGAATAAATGTTAAAGAAGCCCAAGCCCAAAGCATAAAAGAAGAAGAAGCTGCGGAATGCAATTGCAGCACACTGGGCATCGATGCCAGCATTGATGCCAGCATCGATGCCCGCATCGATGCCAGCATCGATGCTGGTATCGATGCTGGTATCGATGCCATCATCATTCTATTACGAATCTAAGGCTGAAATTCATGGTTTTTGGATAAGATTTCGATCCAAGGGCTCTCATTCACTGATGTTTACTATAAATAGGGGTAGAGAGTGAGGGGTTAGAGATATGAAAATTTTTGTAACTCCTTTTGGAGAGGAGGGCTACTCTTAATTAAGAAGGCCTTCCAAATTTATAACTTTTTGTTACAATTAATAAAAATAATTTTTTTACCACTTTAAATTTTTTTCTTCTTCTCTTTGTTGGATGATGAAGATGAAGATGAAGATGGAGATTAATTTGAAGGTTTGTTTTTCTTATTTCTCTTTTATTGCTTATTAGTTTAGATTTATTTTAATGCTTGTAATTAGATTTTATTTTCTTGTTTAAATAGCCAAGAGGCTAGAACCCTTTTGCTTTAGATTTATTTCATGCCTATAGATTAGATTTATTTTCTTGCATTTAATTCTTTTAATTTATTTTGTAGTTTAGATTTTGTAATTTATTTTGTAGTTAGATTTTAATTTATTGTACTATTCACCTTGAGGCTAGAACCCTCTTGGGTTTAGTTTTTCTTATTGTTCATTTTTATTTTCTTTGATTCGTCTTTAGGCTAGAACCCTCTAGGGAATCACCTTTTTCTAAGAAGTGGATTCAATTCTAGATTACCCATATCTTTAATTGAATCCGCTATCTTTACATTCTTGATTTTTATTTGTTCTTAATTTTTCCTTCTTGCCTTGTTGATCACATTTATATTATCACTTCCACTCTCAAATATATTCATTTACATAATCATTTTCATCTCTCCACAATCACATTCACTCATCACTCCTATTTGTCACGCACACAACATAAGAACCGATTTTATATTTTCTCCTACAAAACACATTCATCGTGGATCGATATCTTTATACTATAACTTAACACGGTTGTGCACTTGTAACATTTTTGGTACATGTTTATGTCGCATCATTGTAACTGAGATTTTGCGTACTGTATACCAGCTATATCGTCACCTATATTTATCATATCATCTACGTATATAAGTAATAAAACTCTGCCACACGATGTAGTTCGAACAAACAGAGAAGCATCTTGATGACTTTCCATAAAGTCCACCTTGAGCACGACATCGCGAAAACACTCAAACCAAGCACGATGTGCCTGCTTAAGACCATAAACAGCACAGTGAGGAGACATACATGTCCCATAGGAATATTAAATCCTAGAGGCGGTTGCATATATACTGTCTCGGAAAAAGAGCCATGGAGAAAAGTGTTTTTGGTTGTCGCTGTTTCGTTCTTCTGCCATCTCACGAACGTGATAAATTGTCTCCCAGAGCTGTTCTCTGTGTTTATTTAGGAATTAGTTCGGAACATCGAGGTTATCATTGTTATGATCCTGCATCTCGTCGAGTTCATATATCTCGACATGTTCAGTTCGAAGAGGATTCTCTATTTTATTCTGCTTCCGATGTTTTTAATTTCCTCCACACTCATCTTAAATTTTGTTCCTCTAACCATTACACTAAAACTTCGAAATTATGATAAGGATCAAGGATTATAGTTTTATATTAGTTCTAACATGCCCCCGCAGGTCGAGCGCCCTTTTTTATGGGTCGAAACATGGACTCACGTAGCGGTGTTAATTTTTAGAAAATCCGTATTTAATTCGTGGCCGGTGGGATTTGAACCTGGGTTGCTCTGGTAACATGTTAAAGTAAGAGAGAGAGAGAGTCTTGGGTAAATTTCCCTTTGAGTTAAATATTTAGTGTACACATATATTTATATAAGTAGAGAAGGGTGAGGTGTGTTCTCACAACCAATGTGGGACTAAAACCCACTACAATACACTATTATCAACACTTCTAAAGTTCATATCTTCATTTGGCTTCTTATAAATAACAGACTACAATCAAAGGAGGTTCTCCAATTAAAAGGTTAGAATGGGGATATTACTTGTTCTTTTTGTGGGATAGAATCAGAGTCTAGAGAACATCTATTCTTTTCATGTCCTATAACCAAGCGAGTATGACAACACTTCATGCGCTACTACTTACCTTTCACTTGGCCAAATTCTTTGGATGAGCTTTTGCATGAGATGAAAGGACTTCTTTGGTCAAGCATTTTTCCCTCTGTTTGTTGGAGTTTATGGACATCGAGAAATAAATGCATTTTTGATCAAATAGATTTCTCTTTCAAGTCTATTATTAACTTGGCAATATGTGGTCTATATGATTGGGCAGGCTTTGGAAGTGGATCTGCACCACAGAAGATAAAAACTAAGCTGGAGGAAGAGCCAATTCGAAGAAGCATTTGATTATCTACAAGTGCTTTGAATGATAATATTTTGTATATATGTACAAAAAATACTTTATGTAGTTTTCACCTTTTGTTTTATTGGGTTATAGAAAATTTAGTTTCTCGTTACTAAATATATAGCTAGTTTTGGTTCTTTCCTATATTTGTGGCAACGGTGAATGACGGCAAGACCCTCTCTTCACTTTCATGGATGTCTAGAAGAAGAAAGTCATATATCTTTAGTCTTGAGAAACTATTTTTTCTATTTCCTGGATACAATTCGTATCCTTTTTTGTACCTATTTTTTTTATTAATACGAATGACAAGGTATATCCCTTGTTTCTTTCTCAAAAAAAAAAAAAAAAAGAAATCTATTGCCATGCCAATGACGGTAACATAGTCATAAACAAAACTCTAACGCCCAAGTTTTAGTGGTTGGTAACAAGGGGCTTAGTTTAAAACAAAGATGTGGTGTAGGGACAAAATTGAGAAAATTTTGAGAGAAAAAAAGTACAAGGACCAATTTGCATATGGAGCCTTAGTACAGGGACCAAATGAGTCTTTTAGCCATTTTTAAATAAAACATTATATTCTCTCTCCCCAAAATCCACTTTCCATCAACTTTCTTCAAAATTTTGAGAAACTAAAAGAGATAAAAATGCTTCGGTGACATCCTCCATTTTCCGTTCAATTTCTAGACATTTTCCAAGTGCCAAACGGGTAAAAAACTAGAAAGTAAAAGTCGTTTTTTAATTTTTGGTCTACTTTCTAGTAATTTCCTAGTTGCCAAACACGTCCATAAAAGTTTATTATTATTTGATAGTACAAAATCTAATATATAAGGTTTCAATCTTTTATTATATGTAAATTGTTTGAAAATCGTTTCCCACTTGTACCCCAACTTTAAACTGGCAGAGTGTATTGTTTTGGACCAGCCTAAAATAACCCTTACTTTTGCGTTCCGTTCATAAGTGAAGATCATGGGCTGAAATAATCAGCCATTAAGCGGGCCAAGTTTATCGGATCCAAGCGTACCCGACCCACGACATAGTTGGGCAGCGAACATACTTGCCGAGGGGTTTCCTTCTTCCTAAACCTCAACAAAGAGGACCCTTTTGGGAAAACCTCCGGGAAAAAAATCCTTCCATATTTCTTCCGGTTCTTTTCCCATCGGAGGCCGTGGCTCCGAAATTTAGCCGTTCCCCCAAAAATACCAGCCCCCCCCCCCCCCTTCTTTTTCTCTTGGAACCATGATGGCCGGTCTCCGCTTTTTGAGGCTTGCTTCTTCTTCTCCTCTTCGTAACAGGTAATGTGCAGTTCCCAAAATACCCCCAGGTTTACAAATTCCTAATATGATTGGTAGGAATCAAGTCACGATATATATAAAATGACTCTGTTCGTCTCAGTGCAGTCGGTGGGTATCCATAATTTCAGGATTCGTTTTTTTCTTGTGTCTATTTTTTTAGTAGCTCATTGCCAACTTCAAATGGTTTACAACAACTGGCATAACCATTTTGGTGCTCTATGTCCATGATTCTAGATGCTCTTTAAGTATGCAGTGCAAATGCAAACTATTCTCTTTTGGCTAATAAATTTGTAGCCAGTTCTTGGTATGCATCGATTCTTTTAAGTCTTAACAAGTAAGACACAATATAATGTGGAGTCTCTGCCCGTGACATTCACCCATGTAAGGGAACTGGAACTCGGACGGTCAGAATCCACTACCTTCACCATAATCTGCGCAAGGTAACAGCTTGCTGGGGGTGGGGCTGCGGTATGCCCTTTGATGATTAAATTAGAATCTGGCTAAAAATGGTAGAAAAATAGTAAGTGTGGCAGAATCCCTAGTAAGAGCTAGGTTAGAGAAAGTTAACCACTGTTCATCACTTTATCATAGGCTTGTACTGTTCATATGTGAGAGAGTGGGAGAATACATGTGGTGACATCAGATCAATTAGATGAGGGGGTTTATTCTTTGACCATTTTCCTTTATTCCCAAGAAGGGCGAGAGGGCGAATGGCAGGCACGCGTGTAGTGCGATATTCTCACCTGGCTAACAGTCTTGTCACAGACCCCTTTAGATTAGTGTATAGTCTGCGTGCCTTTCGAGCCCTTTATAGGATGTCTCGGTCCCGAGCCCGTCTTATCCTGAGCTCTTTATGGGGTTTTAACTTCCCAAGCTCTTATCGAGAGCAGGGTGGTTTTTGTCGAATTACTCTTCTCCCCTCATGTGGCGGTCACGGGAGGATGCGTGGATGCTGATGTGGTATGTAGAGTATTTTTGTGGCATAACAACCGAGAACAAACTTCTCATCCTGTTAATGACTAGTTTGATAATGCTATAAAGTTGATCTAGAGGTGCTTCAGAGATGTTTATAGTGTGTTTCAATTTACTCTTGAGGTGCAGAATAATTATAACACTCTCTTCGCCTTTTGCTACATCTTTTGCAACATGTACAGCCAAAGTTTTAATGTTTTATATATTATTCGCATATATGAAGAAAATATCGGAAGCACTGCTTATTAATCATGTAGCACTTTTGCACTCGAGCTTAGTTTCACTAAGATAATCACTTTATTCTTAAAATGTGAATATGTACTAGAACGAATATGTACTAGAAGTCTAGAAGTATTAATCACACATAACGAACATTTGGTTTTGTGTGTAAATTGCCTATATCTATTGGCCACGCCTGTACCTTTTTTACTTTGACAGTAGCTGACCAATTCAGTGCCCAAGCTTTAGTCTACGAGGCCCAGAATCTATGTACATGAGTTTATATCCAAAAATATGAGTTAGTTTTGAAAATCTGGATCTAATTGCACCCTACTTTTTAACACTTTGTTGAACATGAGATACATATAAACATTCCTTTCTAGAAGCTGTATGGTAACTTAAACCTATATTGTTTTAAGACTCAACATGCTTAGGAGGATCATAGATATCAAATAAAGTGTTGGCTATAAATGAATATTGAGTAAAATGCAGATCTGAATATGTTATTTAAACAAAAAATTACTCTAAATTTCTAATTAAAACATCCATAGCAGTGCAAATTTAGTATTAAATAAATATAATGGCTTAAAATAACTATAGCTCTTGAATTTCCTAGAATTATTAGAAACTTTTTTGCAGAACTTAGTTACATTAGATACATATTAATTGGCGTTGGTTATATCAGCTAGTGCGTGAAGTGTGAACATTTTATTTAGAAGCTAGTATATGTTAGGATTACCTTCACAACGATATAGTATGATACCAATTGTCACGATTTTTAAGATTTATTGTGGAAATGCTTGTGGGAACAAGACAAACGTACGACAACAAAAAAAGGAGTTTTTTTTCGTGGTTCGGTAATAAGCTTACCTTCACGGGAGAAAGGGATATTTCTTTATTACTTGAAGAAGAAGATACAATAATTTCTTTTCTCTTGTTGATCCCTCATAAGCTAGGTTGCATGGGTACGGGTACGGTACGGGTGTGGGTACGGGGCACGACAAATTCGTAAAAGGTAGGGTACGGGGACACGGCTATATATATGCATGTTACGTATAGTTATATGCATTAAAATTAATAATTTACATAAGATCAATATTGTTTTTTATTCACATAAGATCAATATATAAGAAATAGATGTGTAGAAAATACATCCATTGAGTGTATGAGGAGTGTTTTAAATCAAAACATGTCTTATATAATTGAGTATAGACCCGAATAAACGTATACATGTATTCAAGAGGTTTCCAAGAGATTTGGGTGCAGGTACAGGTACTTGTCGGGTATCGGAACGGCTTCCTAATAGAAGTACCCATGTATCATAGCTCATAAGAGTCATCTCCTTTCTTGTAAAACTTTACGAGAATAATTGTTTTTTCTTCTTTTTCTATCTTTTTATCCTCTCTTTTTGGTCCCCCTCAAACCCTAGACCTGAGGGAGTAACCCTATTGATATAGTTAAATTTGTGTCTTCCAAAGCGACTAAAAAATCCAATCAAAATGGGTCTGACTGTGCTTTAAATTGCCGAACTGGTCTGCAGGTAGTCCGACTGGTTTGCCTCTCTGGTGGTGGACCAGCTTGTCTACTGGTGGTCAAATAGGGCAGCCCACCCAACCGGTTTCCTGCTGCTGCCTCCAATTCAAGCCAATACAACAGTATAGCTATAAAAGTGTTACCAGAGATAAAGGAGCAATATAGTTGTGATCCTTTACTTTTCTTTGTTCTTTTTTTCTTTGAAGTAACTCCAAAATGTGTTTCATTTGTTCTTTTTGCTGATCTTATGCCTCAAGAGAACTAAACAGTTCCATGTAGTAATTTCGATTATTTTCCTGCTGTCTTTCTAGATGAGTGTTTAGACTTGGAGAATTTCCAACCTTCATTTTTAGTAAGGCGAGCTCAAATTGCTATGTTAGTTAATTGTGCCAATCATTTGCCAAACTATGCTTATGATTGCCTCATATCGACTTTACAATTTCGGGGGCTAGGAAGGTAGCAACTAGCAAGAACTTAGAGGGTTAACTTCAGATTGACATTTGCTAAGTTAGACTTCTCAAAGGAGAGAGTATTTCCGTATATGGTCCTGTTGGATGGAACCTAACCTTTTGTTTTTGTTGTTTTTTTTTTTCCTTTCTGTGCCCGTGGGGGGGGGGGGAAGGGGGAGAGGTGGG